AAACAAGTCCACGTGAATAAAACAGAAAATTGGGAAAAGAGATATGTCCGTGTAAACACGTCGAATGAGACGACCGTGACCGTGGCTGTCGCCCTCGCTTCCTCATTTCTTTCTTTGTCATTTTCGCTTTGTTTTCATATACATAATATATACACGCATATATATACATACACACACACATATTTATCATTGTTAGATCAGTCAACAGTGTAATGGATTCCTCGTGATTCTGTTGACAATCAACAGCAACTTCGCACTAAATTAATTGGAATGTTTTTTTGATCGAATCATCTCCGCGCTTCACAACACCCGTAACCACCACCACTTTAATGTCACGACCATAAAATGTACCACTCGTTTTATTCGTGATACACTTTATTTTTAGACTAATTAGTAATACATTGGTGATCTCTTCTCATGCATTGCATTAATTCTAAATATATGACCATAAAGTAAAACATAACCACTCTAATTTTGCATGTCAAATGATTATATATAATTAATTCTTTATCTTAAAAATGTTTTGGACCACTGCACAAATCGTAACCGTTGGATTCCATCGGTAGGACAAGAGATGTCCCATGTGAACACCAAGATGCGTCCCGAAGACAACAACAATTCGTCTACTTTATTTTTATCAATTGAAAAGTCTGTCGGATTAGTCCTCCATGTCACTATGTGTAATGTATTTGCAATGGTAAAACATTATATATTAGGGGCACAGTCAGAATTTTAATTAGGAAAAAGAATTATGAACAAGGAGGATAAATGTCACTATGTGTAATGTATTAGCAATGGTAAAACATTATATATTAGGGGCACAGTCAGAATTTTAATTAGGAAAAAGAATTATGAACAAGGAGGATAACATTAAGAAGTAGAAAAAAAAAAAAAAAAAAAAAAAAGAGAGAGAGAAGAAAAAGAAAAAAAATGATAGAAACTAATAATTTTAGAGTCGCTATATACAAATTTATACTCCTTCCGTACCATAAAAAGTGTCACTTTTAGGAAACCGTGACTCTCACAAACTGAACTGTCACGATTTTCAAAACATGACACTTTTTTTGGGACAGAGGTAATATATATATATATATAAAAATAAAAATAAAAATTAACTATATAGGTAGAGCTAAGCCGGGGGGACGCGTGCCCTCCTGGGCATACATTGGCTCTTAAATGACATAGTTTTCCTTGCCTACTTAAGTTAAAATGACATAGTTTAGAAAAACAAATTATGTGGTGAATTGTAGGTCATTAATTTTTAATAAAACAGCATATGCTAATTTTAAACAATTTAATTTTGGACAACTTAAGTAATTTCAATGGGCTGGGCTAAACTATATGTCAATGGGCTTTTTTAGTTGAGCTTGGAAGGTGCCAATTTTTCTCATTCTGATCCTAGTATCAACACACTACATGAGATGATGAGAGAGACATATGAAGCTAAGCATCTTGTATCACATAGAATTAATCAGAAATTAGAAATATTGACTTCTCCTAGTACACATAATTGAGCACTAACCATTCCGTCATTGGGCTAAATTAGAGATAGCAATATATAAATTTCCCAAAAAGTAACACAACATTAAGGTAAGGATCTATGCATTCCATTTCCCATATTCCTCATTTACCAAAACAAAAACTTATATTCATCTGCACTGCTACATCTCATTTAAACTTTGTACTCAAACCCCACCCAAAGCATATATGAAACAAATGAGAGTTTGAGACTATAAATACTGACCACTGTCAGCGGAATAAATTCAGGTGGTGGGTGACAATGCAGGGTGAGTCTGGGGCACTGTGGCCTCCTGGCTAACTCTCTTTCTCATCAGTATAATCTCCTTGTGGGAGATGGTGTGCAAAGATAGAACAAATGTAGGACTTGCTGTCGGACGATACTCTAGTAAGAGACAACCAGAATTGTATCGAATCCCACAAGTATTGCAAAGGCCTCGCTTCATAGGTCCCTTCCTCTATTTTGGGGATTTTGTTATCCCACAATGTGTGCATTGCTTGGTTCCCACAGGCCGCTGCAAGTTTTTTCCCCTTCGTATGACTTGCTGCCTTGGTTCCCACAGGTTGCTGTAAGTTTTTTCCTTCATAGGAATTGCTGCAAGATGATCCTCTGGAAAGAGACGACCAGAATTGTATCGAATCCCACAAGCATTGCAAAGGCCTCGCACCATAGGTCCCTTCCTCCATTGTGGGGATTTTGTTATCTCACATTGTGTGCATTGCTTGGTTCCCACAGGTTGCTGTAACCTTTTTTCCTTTGTAGGACTTGCTGCCTTGGTTACCACAGGTTGCCGCAAGCTTTTTTCCTTCATAGAACTTACCGCCGGGCGATCCTCTAGAAAGAGACAACCAGAACTGCATCAAACTCTATAAGCATTGCAGAGGGTCTTTCGCCCTATAGGTCCATCCATCCAATGTAGGACTTGCTGCCGGGCGATACTCTGGTAAAAGACGACTAGAATTGTATAGAATCCCACAAGCATTGCAAAGGCCTCACCCCATAGGTCCATTCCTCCATTTTGGGGATTTTGTTGTCCTACAATATGTGCATTGCTTGGTTCCCACAGGTTACTGTAAGCTTTTTTCTTTCGTAAGACTTGCTGTCTTGGTTCCCACAGGTTGCTGCAAGCTTTTTTCCTTCATAAGACTTGCTGCCGGGCCATCCTCTAAAAAGAGACGACTAAAATTGTATCGAATCCCACAAGCATTACAAAGGCCTCGCCCCATAGGTCCCTTCCTCCATTGTGGGGATTTTGTTATGCCACAATGTGTGCATTGCTTAGTTCCTACAGGTTGCTGTAAACTTTTTTTCCTTTACAGGACTTGCTGTCTTGGTTCCCATAGGTTGCTACACGTTTTTTTCTTTCATAGGACTTACTGTTGGACGATCCTCTGGAAAGAGACAACCAGATCTGTATCGAACTCCATAAGCATTGTAAAGGGTCTTTCGCTCCATAGGTCCGTCCATCCATTGTGTAGCCTTTGTTATCTCACAATGTATACATTTCTGGGTTCCTACAAGTTGCTGTAAGCTTTTTTCCTTCATAGGACTTACTGCCGGGTGATATTTTGGAAAGAAAGTACAAGATTTGTATCGAACCCCACAAGAATTGCAAAGGGTCTATTGCCCTATAGGTCCCTCCCTCCATTGTCGGGTCTTTGTCCTCTTACAATGTACGCATTTTTAAATTCCCACAGGTTGCTGTAAGCTTTTTTTCCTTCATAAGACTTACTGCAAGGTGATACTTTGGAAAGAGAGTATCAGATTCGTATTGAACCCCAGAAGCATTGCAAAGGGTATTTGGCTCCATAAATCCATCCCTCCATTGTGGGGTATTTGTTATCTCACAATGTGTGCATTTCTTGGATCTCACCTGTTGTTGCAAGCTTTTTCCCTTCATCGCTGTGGCACCTGATAGCTGTGACAATTTTTTTTTCTTTGATTGTCTTTTGATGTCGTTTGGCATCTTCCTGCACAGATCAAATTCAGGGAAGTCGGGTAATTGGGAAAATGCTTCAAAGGCAGTAAAATAATGAAATTTTCTGGAAGTGGAAGAACTGAGAGATGTCTCAAGCGATGATTGCGTACTGCGAATGTGTGCTGGGATCATGCCATTTTTAAGGATAGAAATTGGGCTAGGTGTTTGCACAACACTCAATTTCAGGCCATCATAAGTATCATTCTAAAGCCTTTTTGAATGAGTAGTTCCTTCACTATAACGAAAAAATTAATGAACAATGAAAAAAAATAAAAAATTTAAATGAAACAGACAGATAAATGCATTACATTGGCCTAAGAAATCTTTGGCTAAACAATTCTAGCCTATCTGTTCTTCTTACCATATGCAATCATACACTCAACTAAATATAAATAATTAGACGATGGTCCTTTCGATTGTTTAGAACAATGTTAAAGTAACTAAAATATTCAATTCCATTACCATTAGCATAAAATCACCTTAATATCATTAGATGAGTAACAATGAGACTTGGGAATATATATACCAGTAAACCACCTACAAGGTGAATAATGACCAAAAACTAAACACTGATCAAATATAGGACTTGATGTCGGGCGATACTCTGGTAAGAAACGACCAGAATTGTATCGAATCCCACAAGCATTGCAAAGGCCTCGCCCCATAGGTCCCTTCCTCCATTTTGGGGATTTTGTTATCCCACAATATGTGCATTGCTTGGTTCTCATAAGTTGCTGCAAGCTTTTTTCCTTCATAGAACTTACTGCCTTGGTTCCCACAGGTTGCTGCAAGCTTTTTTCCTTCATAGGACTTGCTGCCGGGCGATCCTCTGGAAAGAGGCGACCAGAATTGTATCGAATTCCACAAGCATTGCAAAAGCCTCGCCCCATAGGTCCCTTCCTCTATTGTGGGGATCTTGTTATCCCACAATATGTGCATTACTTGGTTCCCACAAGTTGCTGCAAGCTTTTTTCTTTCGTAGGACTTGCTACATTGGTTCTCACAGGTTGCTGCAAGTTTTTTTCCTTCAGAGGACTTGCTGTCGGGCGATCCTCTGGAAAGAGACAACCAGATCTGTATTGAACTCCACAAGCATTGCAGAGGGTCTTTTGCCTTATAGGTCTGTCCATCCATTGTGTGGTCTTTGTTATTTCACAATGTGTACATTTCTGGGTCCCATAGGTTGTTGTAAGCTTTTTTCCTTCATATGACTTGCTGTCGGGTGATATTTTGGAAAGAGTACCAGATTTATATCGAACCCCACTAGAATTGCAAAGGGTCTGTTGCCCCATAGGTCCCTCATTCCATTGTTAAGTCTTTGTAGTCTCATAATATATGCATTTTTTAATTCCCACATGTTGCTGCAAGCTTTTTTCCTTCATAGGACTTGCTGCCGGGTGATACTTTGGAAAGAGAGTATCAGATTTGTATTGAACCTCATAAACATTGCAAAGGGTATTTGGCCCTATAGGTCCATCCCTTCATTGTGGGGTATTTGTTATCTCACAATGTGTGCAGTTCTTGGTTCTTACCGGTTGCTGCAAGCTTTTTTCCTTCATTACCGTGGCACCTGATAGCTGCGACAGTTTCTTTTTCTTTGGTTGTCTTTTGATGTCGTTTGGCATCTTCCTGCACAAATCAGATTCAGGGAAGTTTGGTAATTGGGAAAATGCTTTAGAGGAAGCAAAATGATGAGATTTTCTGGAAGTGGAAGAACTGAAAGACATCTCAAACGATGATTGCGTGCTGCAAATGTGTGTTGGGATCATGCCATTTACAAGGACAGAAGCTGGGCTAGGTGTTTGCACAACACTCGATTTTAGGCCATCATAAGTATCATTCTGAAGCCTTTTTGAATGAATAGTTTTTTCACTATAACGAAAAGATTAATGAACAATGAAAAAAATAAACAATTCAAATGAAACAGACAGATAAATGCATTACACTAGCCTAATGTTTGACTGAACAATTCTAGCATATCTGTTCTTCTTACCATATGCAATCATATACTCAACTGAATATAAATAATTAGACGATGGTCCTTTTAATGGTTTAGAATAATGTCAAATTAACTAAAATATTCAATTCCATTACCATTAGCATCTTAATATCATCAGAGGAACATCAATGAAACTTAGGAATATATATACCAGTAAACCACCTTCAAGGTGAATAATGACCAAAAATTAAACACTAATCAAATGTAGAAATTACTGCCTTGCGATACTCTGGTAAGAGATGACTAGAATTGTATCAAATCCCACAAGCATTGCAACGGCCTCGCCTCATAGGTCCCTTCCTCCATTTTGGGGATTTTATTATCCCACAATGTGTGCATTGATTGGTTCCCACAGGTTGCTGCAAGCTTTTTTCCTTTATATGACTTGCTGTCGGGCGATCTTCTGGAAAGAGACGATCATAATTGTATCGAATCCCATAAGTATTACAAAGGCCTCGCCTCATAGGTCCCTTCCTCCATTGTGGGGATTTTGTTATCCCACAATGTGTGCATTGATTGGTTCCCACAGGTTGCTGCAAGCTTTTTTCCTTCATAGGATTTGCTGTCTTGGTTCCTATATGTTGTTGCAAGCTTTTTTCCTTCATAAGACTTGTTGTCGGGCGATCCTCTGGAAAGAGACAACCAGATCTATTTTGAACTCCACGAGCATTGCAAAGGGTATTTGGCCCCATAAGTCCATCCCTCCATTGTGTGCTGGAGGCATCTCAAGCGATGATTGCGTGTTGCGAATATGTGCTGGGATTATGCCATTTTCAAGGACAGAAGTTGGGTTAGGTGTTTGTATAACACTCGATTTCAGACTATCATAAGTATCATTCTGAAGCCTTTTTGAATGAGTAGTTTTTCCACTTTAACGAAAAGATTAATGAATAATGAAAAAAATAAAAAATAAAAAATTGAGATGAAACAGACAGATAAATGCATTACATTGGCCTAAGAAATCTTTGGCTGAACAATTCTAGCTTGTTTGTTCTTTTTACCATATGTAATCATACATTCAACTGAATATAAATAATTAAACGATAGTCCTTTCAATGGTTTAGAACAATGTCAAATTAACTAAAATATTCAGTTCCATTACCATTAGCATAAAATCACCTTAATATCATCAGAGGAGCAGCAATGAGACTTAGGAATATATATACCAGTAAACCATCTTCAAGGTGAATAATTACCAAAAACTGAACACTGATCAAATGGTTGTGTCTTAAGCAGTAAACAATTTCTTTTAGCAGTCATTTCATACTTCACACAACATCAAATAGTAAGGAAATAGATTCCTTTAATCCTTACAAGACATTTCAAATTGAAGTTAAATGGAATTCCATAACTAAAGAGTATCAATAAGCACATAAAATTAGTTTAATCAGAGCTAAATCAAATCTAACAAGTGATCAACGGATTAGAGCTAACCGATTTTATAAATCGACATATTTTTTTCAATAATCTCTCATGGCTAATGCTATTTTTTAAACCTCTATAGCAGATATTAGAAAATCTATTCTGCCACATTTGCAGGTTACATCAAGTTTCACAAAGTCTCGAATTGTTCAAATATACTTATGAAGCTTCATACAATCACTTTATCAACCACGCACTCTTCAAAGTTTCGAGGTATATGGCTATATTTATTCTTTGTCGTTATGTATTCCAAGTCTCTCTCCTGGCACTACCTTGTTTCTCTGTATAGATGAAACATAGTCTTGACAATAATGAAATTTCATTCTTGAAAGAATTTCAGCATTAGATTGGGTGCGAAAGCAATAGTGATTGAAACCCAAATTTTTTAAAGTAGCAGTTGTGAGTGTCACTTATAAGATGATGTCGTGGCGTGTTGACAAGTCAACGCAACCCCTAACCGGGACCTTGTGGTAGGTTGAAAAGTCAAAGAGCCACACTAAACACCAGACCTACCAAGTCTCGAGGGCTCAACCCTCGAGCACCTTAAGCCCTGACATCGCATCGGGCCCATCAAGCCTCGAGGGCTCAACCCTTGAGCACCTCAAGCACTGGCATCACACTGAGCCTACCAAGCCTCGAGAGCTCAACCCTCGAGCACACTTCAAGCCCTGGCATTGCACCGGGCCCACCAAGCCTCGATGGTTTAACCCTCGAGCACTTTAAGCCCTGGCATCGCACCAGGCCCACCAAGTCTCAAAGGTGTAACCCTCGAGCACCTCAAACCCTGGGATCGTACCAGGCCCACCAAACCTCTAGGGCTTAACCCTCGAGCACCTCAAGTCCTGGCATCTCGTCAAGCCCACCAAGCCTCGAGGGCTTGACCCTCGAGCACCAAGCCCACCAAGCCTCGAGGGCTTGACCCTCGAGCACCTCAAGCCCTGATATCGCGCCAGGCCCACCACGCCTCGATGGTTTAATCCTCGAGCACCTCAAGCCCTGGCATCACACCAGACCCACCAAACCTCGGGGGCTTAACCCTCTAACACCTCAAGCCCTGGCATCCCACCAGGCTCGCAAAACTTCAAGGGCTTAACCCTCGAGTACCTCAAGCCCTCACTCCACACTGGTCCCTCAAGCCTCGAGGAACTAACCCTTGAACAGGTCAAACCTTGATACTGCATCAGGTCAGTCCTTATAACGTCTTGAAGTATTAAAGCCCCAGAGAGCTTGCCTGCAGAGCACCACAAGTCCAGTCACAGTACGAAACGAAAGTAGGACCTTCGCGGCTATGAGGAATCTAAAACTTGGGAAACTTAGAAGGATCTTAGATTGGTGGATAAGAAGTAAAGAAGTGCATTCACTCTCAGCTAGGCCCAATCAATGAGATAATGGGATTATACTTACAGTATGACAACAAACCTTAAAATCACATTTAATGTTGTGATAGGCTTGACCAACCGGCGGCTAAGTAAGCACAGAAAGCATTTAATGCCCCAAATGAGGGAGAAGCAATATAGTGCATGGCTCGATAAGAGGATTGAACCTCTTAGACTCCCAGGTCTATCAAGACCACCCATGTGATCATGGTTATGAGCCAGGCATACGAGGGACTGCTGGTTAATAACCAACACGGTCTTAGCCTATAAATAGCATTATCCCATGAAAGAATAAAATGACAATAAAAAGAGCTGTCAAAAATACTTTATACTTTCCTACCACCATCTTAACCTTGAAGATTGGTCTTCTTCTCCTCCATCAAGCATCTTCTCTGATTTCCCTCATATTTGTATATTTAATGTCACCATTATACATTTGTTAACTGTGCTACTAAAAAAGAACCCCTACAGCAGTTATTTTAGTCTAAAGTTCTCTTCACAATGAAAGTTAGTACACATAAATAAAACTTATTTCACAAGCTTAAATGATAGCTTATAAGGCCATTTCAACAATTGCAAAATTTGCTTTAAGAACTTAACAAATGTTACTGAATATAAACCCACCTTTGACATTATTTGCACAAAGTGTTTGCCTCACACTCGAACCCTTTAAATTTCTAATTTTGAAGCAATAAACTTATACACCCACATTGCCCCTACGCGGAATGAACCCTTCTTCACCTTCTAGTTTAGAAAATGAGGAAGTAAATTCAATAATAATAAAAAAAATGTAAGATATTCACGTATTCAAATTTCTAATTTAATGTGTTAGTGGTGTACTTACAGGAACAGAGAGATTAGGCACAACTTTTAAACAATCGTTGGAAATAGAGGCTAAACCATCCTGCAACACCTCAAAAGGAATTGGCTCCAGGCACCATCATCCCAATCTCTTTCCTTTTCCATTCCACTACTTTCCAAGCTTTCCATTGAGAAATTAAAAAAATTGTCCAGGTTGACCCCATTGCCAATTCCATAGAAAGAACCAGACCCAACCACTCTATATCTTTTCATTCTAAAATATAAACAAACAGATTGTAACAATCAAAAAGGTAACAAACCAAACAAGCTATATTGTCTTTTTATTCAACATGTTCAAGCATATACATTGCAACCCAACACATATACACACATGTATGGATAATATGAATATTACTGCTTGTCAATAAGGTGAGAAATAGAATATTATACGTTTGTATTGTACAAAACGTGTTCACTAATTTTTTTTTTTTTTTTTTGATATGCCCTTTAAAATCTTAGTATTAGTTAAAATTATACCAAAAAAAAAAAAAAAAGTATGATTAGAATACACAATAAGGAACGATGTTGTAGAGTCTTGATTTATCAGGAACCTCTGTTTGGTTTGCGATTAAACAGGTGAAAAAAAAAAGACAAGAAAGAAAATTGCAGATTTTAGAGCGAAGGAAACTAAATACTTCAAACTAAACCAACACTAGTTATGCTTTTGTATTGAAGAATCATTCCATTTTCTCATTAACCAAACATAGGCAAGAGAAATGCATTCATACCCAGAAAAATAAAAAGAGGGTAAAAGTGAAATGTTTTTTATAAGCCCTTTAAAATCTTAGTATTGGTTAAAATTATACCAAAAGAAGAACTCTGATTAGAATACACAATAAGGAACGACGTTGTAGAGTCTTGATTTATCAAGAACCTCTGTTTGGTTTGCGGTTAAACAGGGGGAAAAAGAAGACAAGAAAAGAAAGTGGAAGATTTTAGAGCAAAGGAAACTAAATACTTCAAACAAAACCAACTCTAGTTATGCTTTTACATTGAAGAATCATTCCATTTTCTCATTAACTAAACATAGGCAAGAGAAATGCATTCATAACCAGAAAAAAGAAAAAGAGGGTAAAAGTGAATTGAAGAACTTAAAACTTTATATTCAGCAAAAGCTCTCAAGAGTTTTAATGAGAGAAACAAACCTTTGACAAACCCTAAACCCGCAAATGAATCCTTGAGCATAGTATGTGTGGCCGTCACTTATCAGATGATGACATGGTGCGTTAACAAGTCAGTGCAACCCCTAACTGGGACCTCGTGGCAGGTTGAAAAGTCAAAGAGCCACACTAAACCCTCGCATCGCACTAGACCCACCAAGCCTCGAGCACCTCAAACCCTGAAATTGTATCGGGCCCACAAAGTCTCGAGGGCTTAACCCTCGAGCACCTCAAGCCCTGAAATCGCACCGAGCCCACAAAGCCTCGAGGGCTCAACCATCGAGCACCTCAAGCCCTGGCATCGCACCGGGCTCACCAAGCCTCGAGGGTTTAACCCTCGAGCACCTCAAGCCTTGGCATCGCACCGGGCTCACCAAGCCTCAAGGGCTTAACCCTCGAGCACCTCAAGCCTTGGCATTGCACCGGGCTCACCAAGCCTCAAGGGCTTAACCCTCGAGCAACTCAAGCCCTGGTATTGCACCAGGCGCACCACATCTCGAGGGTTTAACCCTCGAGTACCTCAAGCCCTGGCGTCGCACCGGGCCCACCAAGCCTCGAGGGCTTAACCCTTGAGCACCTCAAGCCCTGGCATCGCGCCAGGCCCACCAAGCCTCGGGGGCTTAACCCTCGAGCACCTCAAGCCCTGGCATCCCACCGGGCCCACCAAGCTTCAAGGGTTTAACCCTCGAGTACCTCAATCCCTCACTCCACACCGGGCCCTCAAGCCTCTAGGAACCAACCCTCGAACAACTCAAACCTTGATACTGCATTAGGTCAGTCCTTATAACGTCTCGAAATATTAGAGCCCCAGAGAGCTCGCATGCAAAACGCCGCAGGTCCAGCCACAGCACGAAACGAAGGTAGGGCCTTTGC